TTCCAACATAGTTTTTAGGTTTAGGTCAATTTCTTTCTTTTTGTAGAGGACCGGTTGGTGGCTCGCTCTTGGCCCGGGCTGGCTCCAACTCCTGACCTCGAGCGATCCTCCTCCTCAGCCTCCCTCGCCGAGTGACTGAGACTATACGCATGCCCACCACAGCCCGGCTAATTATTTTCTTTATATATTTGTCGTCGCCGCTCATCTTCTTTCTATTTTAGTAGAGACGGGGTGGTCTCGCTCTTGCTCGGGCCGGCCTCACCTCCTGGACCGTCGCGCGCGCTCCTCCCGCCTCGGCTCTGCCGGTGTGACTTCAGTGTGTCCCCCCAGTGACACGTCACCGACCAGGTGCCCAGGCAAGCTGGACGAAGGCAGGTTCCGCTGAGCGGGCGGACAGCATCTGGGAGATTGACGTACAGTTGGAGGACCAGGGGCGGACTGGCAGGATGATGGGGATGTTCGAGGTGTAGAAGCAGGTTTGATGGGTACGTGGTTTACTGGCCGCGGTAGCGCGCCGACTTGATGGGCAGGTCGCCACGCGGGAAAGCCCTGAGGCAGAGGGGCGGGACAGAGCAGGCGCCCCCCCAACACTGGGAGGCTGGGACCGGGAGGGCCCGGCCTCCACAGCGGCGGCGCCAGGCGCTCCGAAACTGAGTCTTTCTCTGTTTTTCGTCGAACTCTGCCGCTGCTGTTGATTATTTATTTTCTTTTCGTCTCTCTTCTTTTTTTTTTTTTGAGACAGAGTCTCACTCTGTCCGCCCAGGGCAGAGTGGAGTGCCGTGGCGTTCAGCCTCGCTGCACAGCAGCCTCAAACTCCTGGGCGTCGGGCGGATCGCTCCTGCCCAGCCTCGCCCGAGTAGCTGGGACCAGCAGGCACGCGCCACCACGCGGGCCGGCTGATTTTTTTTTTTTTTTTTGTATGTATTTTTTAGTCGGGCCAGTTAATTATCTGTATTTTTGGTAGAGACGGGGTCTCTGCTCTTGCTCAGGCTGTGGTCGGAACTCCTGAGTCTTGAGCCGATCCTCGGTGCGCGGGCGGTGCGCTCCCAGAGGCTGGGATGACAGGCTTGAGCCTGCCGACCCGAGCCTCTTTTCTCCTATTTTAAAAACAAAATATTTTTTCTTCTCCTCTCCTGGTCTATGTTTTTTGTTCTGTTTGGGGACCAGATTTTGAAAGATGCGAGGGTCTCGGGCTCTCTGTCGGGAGAATATCGTATCAATTGAGAGTCTATCGAATATCGGCGCGTGGTTCTATCGGTACCAGATATTACTACAGAGCCTTCCCTTGCCGAAATCCCCTGGGGAGCAGAAAGGGTTTTCTTACGAGTTTAATTTCTTTTTTTGTTTTTTTTAATTTAATTTTTTCTTGTTTTCCCCTCTTTACCTACATGAATCTTTTATGGATATTTCATTTTAATTATTAATCTCTCCAATTAATTTAATCAATCAATTATTAATCTGTAAAATTAATCTTTTAAATATTATGATATTAATCTTTAAATAATTATTTTTTTTTTTGAGGACAGAGTCTCACTCTGTCGCCCGGGCTGGCAGTGAGCACGCGGCGTCAGCCTCGGCTCCACAGCAGCCTCCCGATTTCCTGGCCTCAAGCCCTCTCCTGCCTCGGCCTCGCCTCCCGAGTAGCTGGGGGGACCACAGGCACGCGCCTCTGTCGCCGCTCATTTTTTCTATATATTTTCAGTTGTTCAGTAATTTCTATTTTTTTTTTAGTATGACACCACGGTCTCGCTCTTGCTCGCTGGCCTCACCTCGCGACCTCAAGCAAGCGATCCTCGCCGCCCGGCGCTCGCTCCCGAATGCTTTAGGGCCACAGGTCATGACACCACCGATACCTGGCTTAATTTCTTCTATTTTTAGTTTTTTCTTGCTATTTCTTTGTATTTTAGTGGACACCAGGAGTCTCGCGTCGTTGCTCGGGCGCCTTGGACCTCCCGACCTCCAACGGAGCGATCCTCGCGAGCCAGGCCTCCCTCGCCGAGTAGGCTGGGAACGGACAGGCTGTGCGCCCACCTAGTTGAGATGACCACGGCGCCCAACGGCCTCCCGGAAACCCCGGACGCGGCCAGGACCCAGTGGCCGGGCGACCGGGCTGGGGGGGACGCACCTGGAAGTAGATGACCACGGCCGGAACACGAAATGTGCGATGAGGTTCATGAGGTTGGGCAGGTTCTGGCGTAGAAGGGCTCGCGAGGGCGCGCACCTTGGGTCCGTCGCGGGATGGCCAGGAAGAAGGAGCCGCCTGATGATGGCGCCTTCGAACTCCATCCGCCTGCGGGCAGACGCGCCGGGCAAAGGGGCATGGTGAGGCGGGGCAAAGGGTGACCGGGAGCAAGGCGGTGAGGGCTGGGAGCAAAGGTGGTGAGGCCGGGAGCGGGAGCAAGGGTGAGGGCCTGGGAGCAAAGGGGTGAGGCGGGAGGCAAAAGGGGTGGAGGCAGGGGACGTCAGAAAGGGGTTGGATGGCACGGGCAAGACCTCTCGGATTTGCCTCCCAGGCGAAGCAAATCAGGAGGCGGCCAAAACGCGGGCGGGCTGGGATCCAACCGGGCTGGGGAGAGTCACGGGGCTCAGCCCGACTCCGGCCTCCGCGAGCCTCTCCGGTCTCTGGCCTCCCTCCTGATGAGATGGGAGGGACAGCGGTGCTGGCCACTTACGCCCGGCTCATTTTTTTCGATATATTTTTAGTTGTCCTGCTCATTCTTCCTTTTTTTTTTTTGTTTTTTAGTAGAGACGGGGTCTCGCTGCTTGCGACAGAGGCTGGTCTCAGAACTCCTTGACCTCGATCAGAAGCGGATCCTCCCGCCTCGGTCCTCCCCTCCCGAGTTCTGCTGGGCGACGAACAGGATTGCGCCACGCACGGCCGCTGGTTTTTGGTATATTTTTAGTTGGCCAAGTTAATTCTTTATTTTTTTAGTAAAGGACGGGATCTAGGGCTCTGGCTGCATGAGGCTGGCTCGAACTCATTGATCGGTCGAGCGATCCTCCCACTCTCGGCCTCCCTCCGAGTATGCTGGGACCTTACAGGCATGCGCCTCCGCACGCTCCGGGCTCATTTTTTCGGATATTATTTTTGGCTTGTCCAGCTGCATTCTTTTGTTTCTCTGTTTCTTTCTTTTTTTTTTGAGACAGAGTCTCGCTCTGTCGCCCGGGGGGCTAGATGTGAGCGCCGGGGGCGTTTAGCCTCCCGACTCCTGGCCTCAATCAAGCGGCCTGCCTGCCTCAGCCTCCCTCCCTGAAGTAGCTGGACTACAGGCGATGCGGCTCCACGCCCGGCTGTTTTTTCGTTATATTATATTTTTAGTCGTCCCAGCTCGTTTCTTTCTATTGTTTTTTTTTAGTAGAGACAGGGTGGGGATCTCGCTCGTGCTCAGGCTGGCCTGTCCCACCTCCTGACCTCGATGCGATCCTCCCTCCTCGGCCCCAGAGAGCTGGGCGACGGGCGTGAGCCTCCGCTAGCCGGCTGCCCACCCCATTCCGGCACCGGCTCCTGTCTGGCCCCCCGAGTGCTGATAGCCGTCAACGGGGTGGCCGGGGGGCCCCACCTCGGGCGGTGTTGCGGTGGTGGGGCGTGAAGGCCTTCCACACGATGGTCGTCGCAGATGTGCGGGCGATGAAGAGGAGATGCCGGAACCGAGGCCGGTCGCCCTTCTGCAGGGTCGTCCAGAAGGAGCCACGATTCAGCCCGCGACGAAAAGTCTGCACGAGGAGAATTTTAAAATCAAAAGCATGTTTCCGAAACCGGGCTAGAATTGAAAAGAAAAAAATTTAACAGATAATAATTTAAAATGTAAATTAATTTATAAGTAACAATAAAACAAAAGAGGAATCCAAACATTAGGACGACTGCAAAAAAAAAAAAAACAGAAAGAAATTAGCTGGAAAAGCAAAAATATATAGAAAAAATGAGCCGAGCGTGGTGGCGCATGCCTGTCGTCCCAGCTACTCGGGAGGGAGGCCGAGACGGGAGGCTCGCCGGAGGCCGGGAGTCGGAGGCTGAGCCCCGTGACTCTCCCCCGCCTTGCGTTTTGGCCGCTGTGATTTGCTTGCTGGGAGGCAAATCTGAGAGGCTTGCCCGTGGCCTCACCCCTTTGCTCCCGGCCTCACCTCTTTGTTCCCGGCCTCACCCCATTGCTCCCGGCCTCACCCCTTTGCTCCCGGCCTCACCCCTTTGCTCCCGGCCTCACCTCTTTGCTCCCGGCCTCACCCCTTTGCCCGGCGCTCTGCCCCCAGGGATGGAGTTCGAAGGCGCCATCATCGCGCTCTTCCACCTCCTGGCCACCCGCACGGACAAGGTGCGCGCCCTCCGCGAGGCCTTCTACCGCCAGAACCTGCCCAACCTCATGAACCTCATCGCCACCATCTTCGTGTTCGCCGTGGTCATCTACTTCCAGGTGCGGCCCCGCCCCGGCCCCGCCCGGCCACCTGGGTGCCCTGGCGGCGTCCGGGGTTTCCGTCTCGGGAGGCCGGGGGGCGCCGTGGTCATCTCACCAGGTTGGCGACTCGCCTGTCGTCCCAGCTGCTCGGGAGGGAGGCCGGGGCGGGAGGATCGCTCGTTGGAGGGCGGGAGGTCGAGGCCGGCCCGAGCAAGAGCGAGACTTGGTGTCTACTAAAAATACAAAGAAATTAGCAGAAAAAAAAACTAAAATGAGAAAAAATTAGCCAGGTATGGTGGCGTATGCCTGTAGCCCTAGCATTCTGGGAGGGAGGCCGGGGTGGGAGGATCGCTTGTTCGAGGTCAGGAGGTCGAGGCCAGCCCGAGCAAGAGCGAGACCCCGTCTCTACTAAAAAAAAAATAGAAATTAGCTGAACAACTGAAAATATATAGAAAAAAAACGAGCCGGGCGTGGAGGCGCATGCCTGTGGTCCCAGCTACTCGGGAGGGAGGCCGAGGCAGGAGGATCGCTTGAGGCCAGGAATCGGAGGCTGCTGTGAGTGAGGCTGACACCGCGGTGCTCACTCCAGCCCGGGCGTCAGAGTGAGACTCTGTCTCAAAAAAAAAAAAATTATAAAAGATTAATATCATAATATTAAAAGATTAATTTTAAGATTAATAATTGATTGATTAAATTAATTGAGAGATTGATAATTAAAATGAAATATCATAAAAGATTCATGTAGGTAAAAGAGGGGGGAAAAAAAGAAAAAATTTAAATTAAAAAAAAAAAAAAGGAAATATCATAAGAGAAACCCTTTCTGCTCCCCAGGGATTTCGGAAGGGAAGGCTCTGTAGAAAGGTATCAATAGAAACAGCGCCGACACTGATAGAATCTCAATTGATAGATGTTCTCGACAAAGAAGCCGAGACCTCGCATCTTTAAAATCTGGTCCAAAAAAAAAAAAAATAGAAAAGGAGAGAGAAGAAAAAAATATTTTGTTTTTAAAAAAAGAGAAAAGAGGCCGGGTGCGGAGGCTCACGCCTGTCATCCCAGCACTCTGGGAGGCCGAGGCAGGAGGATCGCTCAAGCTCAGGAGTTCGAAACCAGCCTGAGCAAGAGCGAGACCCCGTCTCTACCAAAAATAGAAAGAAATTAATTGGCCAACTAAAAATATATATACAAAAAAAAAAAAAAAATCAGCCGGGCGTGGTGGCGCATGCCTGTGGTCCCAGCTACTCGGGAGGCTGAGGCAGGAGGATCGCTCGAGCCCGGGAGTTTGAGGCTGCTGTGAGCGAGGCTGACGCCACGGCACTCACTCTAGCCTGGGCAACAGAGTGAGACTCTGTCTCAAAAAAAAAAAAGAGAGAGAAAAGAAAAAAAAAAATAATAATAAAAGAAAAGCGGAAGATTTCGACGAAAAACAGGAGAAAGGACTAGTTTGGAGGCTGGCGGCCGCCGCTGTGGAGGCCGGGCCTCCAGTCCCAGCCTCCAGTGACTTGGGGGGCCTGCTCTGTCCCGCCCCCGCCCCTCCAGGGCTTCCGCGTGGACCTGCCCATCAAGTCCGCGCGCTACCGCGGCCAGTACAACACGTACCCCATCAAGCTCTTCTACACCTCGAACATCCCCATCATCCTGCAGTCGGCCCTGGTCTCCAACCTCTACGTCATCTCCCAGATGCTGTCCGCCCGCTTCAGCGGGAACCTGCTCGTCAGCTTGCTGGGCACCTGGTCGGTGAGTGCACGGGGGGGGGGCGACTGAGTCACACCGGAGGCCGAGGCGGGAGGATCGCGCGCGAGGTCAGGAGTTGGAGGCCGGCCCGAGCAAGAGCGAGAACGCCACCCCGTCTCTACTAAAAATAGAAAGAAATTGACCTAAAACTAAAAATATGTTGAAAAAAAAAAATAGCCAGGCGTGGTGGCTCACGCCTGTCGTCCCAGCACTATGGGAGGCCGAGGTGGGAGGATCGCGCTAGAGGTCGGGAGGTAGAGGCCGGCCTGAGCAAGAGCGAGACCCCGTCTCTACTAAGGAACAGAAAGAAAGTAGTTTCATTGGACAACTAAAAATATATAGAAAAAAAAAACGAGCCGGGCGTGGAGGCGAGTGCCTGTCGTCCCAGCTCCTCGGGAGGGAGGCCGAGGCGGGAGGCTCGCTCGAGCCCAGGAGTCAGAGGCTGCCGTGATCGAGGCCGACGCCTCTGCACTCGCTCCAGCCGGGGCGACAGAGCGAGACTCTGCCTCAAAAAAATAAAAAAAAAAACAAGACTGCGGTGTGGACGCTCAGAGGCAAAAATCGGATTCCCTCGTCCGGTCGGGGGGCGCGGAGGCCGGGCCTCCACATGTCTGTTTTCCGCCCGTCCCAGGACACGTCCTCGGGGGGCCCGGCCCGCGCCTACCCGGTGGGCGGCCTCTGCTACTACCTGTCCCCTCCGGAGTCGTTCGGGTCGGTGCTGGAGGACCCCGTGCACGCCGTGGTCTACATCGTGTTCATGCTGGGCTCCTGCGCGTTCTTCTCCAAGACCTGGATCGAGGTCTCGGGCTCCTCCGCCAAGGACGTGAGTAGAGGCCCCCCGCCTTCCCGGAGGCCGGGGTAGAGGCCACCCGCCTTCCCGGAGGCCGGGGTAGAGGCCCCCCGCCTTCCCGGAGGCCTGGGTAGAGGCCACCTGCCTTCCCGGAGGCCGGGGTAGAGGCTCCCCCCCGCCTTCCCAGAGGCCGGGGTAGAGGCCACCTGCCTTCCCGGAGGCCGGGGTAGAGGCTCCCCCCTGCCTTCCCGGAGGCCGGGGTAGAGGCTCCCCCCAGCCTTCCCGGAGGCCGGGGTAGAGGCCCCCCCCTGCCTTCCCGGAGGCCGGGGTAGAGGCCACCCCCCCGCCTTCCGCGTCTCCACCGTGTTTTTTTCCCCCCGAAAAAAAAAACGAGCCCTTTAGCGACATCATCTGAGCGGTTTGCACATTGGCTCCCGTCAAAGCCCTACCCCACCTTGGCAACCGGTCCTTAGCAACGGTCGCCATGGTTACGCAGCGTCGAAGCCCCAGGGTCCTTAGCAACGGTCGCCATGGTTACGCAGCATCAGAGCCCCGCGGTCCCTAGCAACGGTCGCCATGGTTACGCAGCATCAGAGCCCCACGGTCCTTAGCAACGGCCGCCATGGTTACGCAGCTTCGAAGCCCCAGGGTCCTTAGCAACGGCCGCCATGGTTACACAGCATCAAAGCCCCAGGGTCCCTAGCAACGGCCGCCGTGGTTACGCAGCATCAGAGCCCCGCGGTCCTTAGCAACGGTCGCCATGGTTACGCAGCATTAGAGCCCCGCGGTCCTTAGCAACGGCCGCCATGGTTACGCAGCATCAAAGCCCCAGGGGTGCAGGTGCAGCGAGTGCTGGGCGGCCCCTTCCCGTCCATTCCCCAGTTGTTATGACAGCGTCTGGGGCTCCATGACGACGGGGAGGGGCCGGTTCTAGAAGGTTCCAAAGGGGAAACAAAGGCCCGAGAGCCAGAGCGAGGAAGGAGGTTCCAGAAGTAGACGTCACCCTGCTTGTCTCGGTCCACGCAGACGGTCGCCCAGCGCTTAAAAAAAATGATGGGTCGCCCCCCCAAAAAAATGAGCCCTGCTGGGGTGTCTTCTTGGGGGGGGGTAATAAAATATAGGGGACCCCCATAGTCTGGTTGTTGGGGAGACTCGGTATCCCCAGGGGGAAAGGGGGGATGTGCGGGTCACGGGGCGGCCCAGGGAGTTTTAGCCCTAAACGCTCGCTCGTGTTTTTTTCTCGATTCCGTTTTTTTCTACCCGGGATTTAATTTTTTTTTATTCCATTTTTATTTTTTATTTTATGTTATTTTTTTTTTTTGTCGGTCGATTCCGTTTTTCTACTCGGGATTTAAATTTTTTTAGATTTAATTGTTTTAGGCGCCCCTGATTTTTGTCCCTTGCTTTTTTTCTCGATTCCGTTATTTTATTTTTTATTGTTTTTTTTTTTTTTTCGGTTCCGTTATTCTACTCGGGATTTAATCTTTTTTAAACGCCCCAGATTTTTCTCGCTTGCTTTTTTTTCTCGATTCCATTATTCTACCCAGAATATAATTTTTTCAAGTGCCCAAGATTTTTCTCGCTTGCTTTTTTCTCTATTCCATTTATTTTTTATTTTATTTTATTTTTTTTTATTCCATTTTTCTACTCGGAATTTAATTTTTTTAAGCGCCCCAGATTTTTCTCGCTTTTTTTCTCGATTCCATTATTCTGCTCGGAATTTAAAATTTTTTAAACGCCCCAGATTTTTCTCGCTTGCTTTTTTTATTGATTCCATTTTTCGACTTGGGATTTTTTCTCGCTTGCATTTTTCTCGATTCCACTTTTCTGCTCAGGATTTAATCTTTTTAAACGCTCCAGATTTTTCTCGCTTGCTTTTTGTCTCGATTCCATTTTTCTCCTCGGGATTTAATCTTTTTAACCGCCCTTGATTTTTCTTGGTTGCTTTTTTCTCGATTTCATTATTCTACTCAGGGTTTAATTTTTTTAGACGCCCAGATTTTTACAAAGCTGCGGCAGAAGAATTTTTTTAAAAGCTGGAGTTTCTTTTCCTACAAATTTATTCATTTTGATTTTTTTTTTATATATTTCAAATTATCGATGCATTCGAAGAGTTGTTTTTTTTTGTTTTGTTTTTTTTTTGAGAGAGAGGTCTCGCTCTGTCGCCCAGGCTAGAGTGAGTGCCATGGCGTCAGCCTCGCTCACAGCAGCCTCCAACTCCTGGCCTCTAGCGATCCTCCCGCCTCAGCCTCCCTCCCGAGTAGCTGGGACTACAGGCATGCGCCTCCACGCCCGGCTCGTTTTTGTTATATATATTTTTAGTTGTCCGGCTCATTTTTTTTTAATTTTTAGTAGAGACGGGGTCTCGGTCTTGTTCAGGCCGGCCTCGAACTCCTGACCTCGAGCGATCCTCCCGCCTCGGCCTCCCGGAGTGCTGGGATGACAAGGCGTGAGCCTCCGCAGCCTGCCCGAAAAGGAATTTTAATCTCTATAATTTTTGCTGACTGTGTGGAGTCACACGGGACATCGAGTGCAGAGGGTTAAGGGCTGACAGAGGCCAGCGACAAATTTACCCGAGGTCTGAGGCCAAACTGCGCAATTAGAACATGTCCGTGGCTTCCTTGGGGCGGTTTTTAGGGTTTCTAGGCCGGGCGCGGTGGCTCACACCTGTCGTCCCGGCACTCTGGGAGGCTGAGGATGGAGGATCACTGGAGGTCAGGAGTTGGAGGCCAGCCTGAGCAAGACGAGACCCGTCTCTACTAAAAATAGGAAGAAATTAATTGGCAAAGTGAAAATAAATATAGAAAAAAAATGAGCCGGGCGTGGTGGCGCATGCCTGTCGTCCCAGAGACTGGGGAGGCTGAGGCGGGAGGATCGCTCGAGGTCGGGAGTTGGAGGCCAGCCTGAGCAAGAGCGAGACCCCGTCTCTACTAAGAAAATAGAAAGAAATGAGCTGGACAACTAAAAAAATATAGAGAAAAGAAAACGAGCCGGGTGTGGTGGCGCGTGCCTGTCGTCCCAGCTACTCAGGAGGGAGGCCGAGGCGGGAGGATCGATTGAGGTCGGGAGTCTGAGGCCAGCCTGAGCAAGAGCGAGTCCCCGTCTCTACTAAAATAATACAAAGAAATGAGCTGTAAATATATAAAAAAAAAAGAAACGAGCCGGGCGTGGTGGCGCACGCCTGTTGTCCCGGCTACTCGGGAGGGAGGGAGGCCGAGGCAGGAGGCTCGCTCGGGCCTCAAAGCCGGAGGCTGCCGTGAGCGAGGCCGAGGCCCCGGCGCTCGCTCCAGCCCGGGCGACGGAGCCAGGCTCTCGTCTCCAAAAAATAAAAACAGGAAAGGTCCGTAAACAACGCGGCCGCTAGCGCGGGAAGGGGAAACTGAGGCGCGTTCTCAGCCCCGCGGGACGTGCCGGCCTCGGGCTCTGACTCGAGCGCCGTCCCCTCCTCCCCGCCCCGCCCCGCCCGCAGGTCGCCAAGCAGCTGAAGGAGCAGCAGATGGTCATGCGGGGCCACCGGGAGACGTCCATGGTCCACGAGCTCAACCGGTGAGTGTCGGCCCCGGGTCACGGGACGCGAGGGTCCCCCGTGTCCTCCGATGTCTGTGTGAGCTCGCTGAGCTCCGGACACCAGACACAGAGAAGTCCGGCCGGGCGCAGGGGCTCACGCCGGTCGTCCCGGCACTCTGGGAGGCCCAGGAGGGAGGATCGCTCAATCGAGGCCAGGAGTCGGAGGCCGGCCTGAGCAAGAGCGAGGGTCTTGTCTCTACTAAGAAAAATAAGAAAGAAACGAGCTGGACGACTAAAACTATATAGAAAAACTAGCAAAAAAAAAAAAAAAAATGGAAGCCGGGCTGGGTGGGGCCGAGACTGGATTCCGGAGTCCCAGCTACTCGGAGGGAGGCCGAGGAGGGAGGATGAGTCCGAGGTCAGGAAGTTGGAGGCCAGCCTGGCAACGAAAGCGAGAGTAAAAAAAAAAAAAAAAATAATTAGCTGGACAAGTAAAAATATATATGGAAAGTTAGCCAGCCTATAATTCTAGCACTCTGGGAGGCCGAGGAGGGAGGATCGCTCGAGGTCAGGAGGTGGAGGCCAGCCTGAGCAAGAGCGAGACCCCGTCTCTACTAAAAAAAGTAGAAATTAATTGGCCAACTAAAAATATATAGAAAAATCGAGCCGGGCGTGGTGGTGCACGCCTGTCGTCCCAGCTACTCGGGAGGGAGGATGAGTCGAGGCCAGGAGTTGGAGGCCAGCCTGAGCAAGAGCGAGACCCCGTCTCTACTAAAAACAAATAGAAAGAAATGAGCTGGAAAAAAAAAAATGAGCCGGGCGTGGTGGCGCGTGCCTCGAGTCCCAGCTACTCTTGGGAGGGAGGCCGAGGTGGGAGGCTGAGTCGAGGCCAGGAAGTTAAAAACCAGCCTGAGCCAGAGCGAGACCCCGTCTCTACTAAAAACAAATAGAAAGAAATGACCTGGACGACTAAAAATATATAGGGGAAAAAAAAAAAAATGAGCCGGGCGTGGTGGCGCGCGCCTGTCGTCCCAGCTGCTCCGGGGAGGGAGGCCGAGGCGGGAGGCTGAGTCGAGGCCAAGAAGTTCAAAACCAGCCTGAGCCAGAGCGAGACCCCGTCTCTACTAAAAAAAAATTAAGAAGTAGATGAGCTGGATGACTAAAAATATATAGGAAAAAGAAACTGAGCCGGGCGTGGTGGCGCATGCCTGTCGTCCCAGCTACTCCGGGGAGGGAGGCCGAGGCGGGAGGCTGAGTCAAGGCCAGGAAGTTCAAAACCAGCCTGAGCCAGAGCAAGCCCCTGTCTCCACTAAAAATAAAATAATAATAGTAATAAATAAGAAGTAGATGAGCTGGACGACAAAAAACATTTAGAAAAATGAGCGAGCCGGGCGCGGTGCCGCGCGCCTGTCGTCCCAGCTACTCCGGGGAGGGAGGCCGAGGCGGGAGGCCGAGTCGAGGCCAGGAAGTTCAAAACCAGCCCGAGCCAGAGCGAGCCCCTGTCTCCACTAAAAATAAAATAATAATAATAATAAATAAGAAGTAGATGAGCTGGACGACAGAAAACACATAGGAAAAAAAAAACTGAGCCGGGCGCGGTGCCGCGCGCCCGTTGGGAAAAGGGAGGCCGAGGCGGGAGGCTGACCTCCCCGCCCTTGCGCGCGTGTCCCCCGCAGGTACATCCCCACGGCGGCGGCCTTCGGCGGGCTGTGCATCGGGGCGCTGTCGGTGCTGGCCGACTTCCTGGGCGCCATCGGCTCGGGCACGGGCATCCTGCTGGCCGTCACCATCATCTACCAGTACTTCGAGATCTTCGTCAAGGAGCAGAGCGAGGTCGGCAGCATGGGGGCGCTGCTCTTCTGAGCCTCCGCGCCCGGCCTCCCCGCCCGGCCTCCGCGCCGCCCCAGCCCCCCCACCCCCAATGCCACGCGTGTTTTGCAGTTTTCCGCAAATCCGCCTCTTCATTCCGGCGCGTCGCCAGGAAGACGAGCCCCCGGGGGGCGGCCTCCACGACCCTCCCTCCCCGGGGGGCCGGCCTCGACACCCGCGGGCGGCCTCGACACTTGGGAGGCTGTAAGGGTGGGGACTGTTCTGTCCACCGTGGGAGGCCCAGGCGGTGTGTCAGTCTGTCTGTCTGTCTGTCTGCCGGGCCTCGGGTCACTCGTGTTCTGGGGACACGGGACTGGCGTGGTGGCGGCACACGCGCGTGTGTGTGTGTCCTCCCGTGTTCACTCCGTGGCCTCCGACTGCTTCTCTCTCTCTCTCCACGGAGCCGGCCTCCCTGCCTCCCTTTGGCTCCTGCTGTTCGAGACAGGGCCGCTCATGCGCCCTCTGTCGCCCCCGGGGGTTTCTCCTCACAGCTGCCTCCGGTTCCGAGGCTCAGGCGAGCCTCCCGCCTCGGCCTCCCTCCCGAGTAGCTGGGACGACAGGCGTGCGCCTCCATGCCCGGCTAGTTTATTTTTTCTATATATTTTTAGTCGTCCAGCTCTTTTCTTTATTTTTTTAGTAGAGACGGGGTCTCGCTCTTGCTCAGGCCGGCCTCGAATTCCTTGACCTCGAGCGAGCCTCCCTCCTGGGCCTCCCTCCCGAGTAGCTGGGATGACAGGCGTGAGCCTCCGTGCCCGGCTCATTTTTTTTTTCTCTATATTTTTACTTTTCCAGCTTATTTCTTTGTGGTTTTTTTTTTCAGTGGAAACGGGGTCTCGCTCTTGCTCAGGCTGGCCTCGACCTCCTGACCTCCACCGAGCGAGCCTCCCTCCTGGGCCTCCCTGAGTAGCTGGGACGACAGGCATGCGCCACCTCGCCCGGCTCATTTTTTTTCTATGTGTTTTTAGTCGTCCCAGTTCTTTATTTTTTAGTAGCGACGGGGGGTCTCGCTCTCGCTCAGGCCGGCCTCGAATTTCCGGCCTCGAGCGATCCTCCCGCCTCGGCCTCCCTCCCAGACTGCTGGGACGACAGGCGCGAGCCTCCGCGCCCGGCCTTCTCCCCTCGTCTTCAAACTCTCTTTTCGGGGACAGGGCCGCTCCCCACTGTCACCCCGGGGGGCCCGCGGGGGCTTTGGAGGCCGCCCCGGCCGGGCTCGTGGGTCCCCGTCGTCCCCGCCGTGTTCGGGGACAGCCCCCCGCCGTCTCCCTGTTGACGGGACGAGGTCGGGGGCCTCTAGCCTCGTGAGCCGGGCGGCAGCCTCCTCGTCCTGCTGGAGGCAGCGGGCCTCGACCCCTTTTGTGGAGGCCTCCCCGAACAGCCTCCACTCGTGCCTAGAATTTTCTTTCTGGGCTTCTGGGACCAAACGCGTGATCGGGCGGGGTAGTGGCCCCTCGGGGGTCGGCGACCTTCCCCGAGGCCACCGAGGAACCCCGGGGGTGAAAGGCCGCAACCT